CTATAATACTTAGAATGAATCCAAAAGATGCATATGAAAGCTGAATGTATGGGGAACCAACATGTTATTGATATATTATCTGTGGTTTTATCGGTTTAGCTGTAATTCGCGTTCAAATTTAAAATAATGCTCGAAAAAGCAGTGTTTTCGCATTTCTTTGTTTTTCTCGAAAATTTATAATACTTAGAATGATCAAAATGATTCATATGAAAGCTGAATGTATGGGGAATCCAACATGTATAGATATATTACTGTGGTTTTATCCGTTTGGCTTTAATTCCAGTTCAAAGCAAATTTAAAATAATGCCCGAAAAAGCAGTGTTTTCGCATTTCATTGTTTTTCTCGAAATTTATAATAGATAGAATGGATACAATCGATTCATATCAAAGGTGAATGTATTGTGAATGTCTTCATACATTGGTTTAATCCATATGGCAGTAATATAAAATTTTATATATTAATGCAACAAATTATATAATAAAAATGAAAATGCTTAAATTTGATAACTAGTTCATTAGAAACGTTACAGTTTTTTCATTAATTTGCGTTTTCGATGGTTTCATTAGCAGGAGTGGTATTCGATTAATTAAAAAATCGTGAAGGTTTTGCAGTAAATTAAAAAAATAATTAAATAACTCGGTATATTTACATATAGTTGAAAAGTTTAATTTACAATTTTAAAGAATGATTCTTTACCTTTCGTTTGCAACTTAAATTATTAATATTGGTCAATTAATAAGAAAGTTATTAAGCTTTACTGTGTCCGTGGTTTTCGTGAATCGAATCGAATCGTGAAACGCAAGTCCCCCAACGATTCTCGAAAATGACATAAAATTTCGATTTGCACCAGGAGACCAGGAGTAGCGAGGAGGTGTCTGAGCTCCTAGCATCGGTAGTTCTAATGCAACGGTAGTTCTAATGCTACAGCCACTTACGTTTGTGTAAGTGAGCGAACTGTCATTCTGACAGCTACTGTCATTGTGACAGCTAGAGCTAGTGTTTCAAGTTAACTTTAAAGGACTTATTGAATTCGCTGTTTAAACTGAAATGTTTTACAAATGCAAACTTAATGAAGACCGTGCTTTATCCTTCTATATCTTTCTATGGAAATCTTTTCTTAGAACACCACATTACACTTTGGACAAGTACCAGTGCTATATATATATATGTTAACAACCATCAATCGCCAAAGTTATTTGTCTTGAAATAAGATATGTCTGAAGCTATGGAAATATCTACATTTTATAAGTATTTGCATGAATTGCTAATAGTCATGAACCAATTGTTAAAAAGGTTATTAATGGATGCGACCAGAAACTTCACTTCATTAAGGTTGTGGTTAACACAATCTCCCATAATCCTGGGAGATTGGATAACATTTCTGAGTGCCAGGTGCAGTGAAAATACTAGAAAATCCAAAATGTAATCTTTCACAAAACCGCAGAACAAGACTAAATGTATTTCTTTCTTCAGGACGACTCATCAATTTATTGTTGCTTCCTACATAATCATTAGAGATAGTATAACAATTCTGAGTGGCAGATGCAGTGAATATATTGGAAAAATGAAAAATATAAATTTTGAATCAACCCTAGAAAGAGACTAAAAGTATTTCTTTCTTCAGGATGACTCAGCAGCACCCATCAATCTATTATTGCATCCTACATGATCATTAGAGATAGTATAACAATTCTAAGTGGCAGGTGCAGTGAATATACTAGAAAATCAAAAATGTAATTTTTCATCAAACCACAGAAAGAGACTAAAATTATTTCTTTCTTCAGGAGTTCTCAGAAGCACTCATCAATCTATTGTTGCCTCCTACATGTTCTTTAGACATAGTATAACACACCTGAGTATCAGATGCAATGAAAATACTTGGAAAGCAAAAATGTAATTATTCATCAAAACCACAGAAAAAGACTGAAAGTATTTCTCTCTTCAGGATTACTCAGCAACACCCATCAATCTATTGTTGCCTCCTATATGATCATTAGAGATAGTATAACAATTCTGAGTGGTAGGTACAGTGAATATATTAGAATATCAAAAATGTAATTTTTCAACAAAAGCCCAGAAAGAAACTAAAAGTATTTCTTTCTTCAGGACGACTCAGCAGCACTCATCAATCTATTATTGCCTCCTATATGAACATTAGAGATAGTATAACACACCTGAGTACCAGATGCATTGAAAATAATGGAAAAATTGAAATATACATTTTTAATCAAACCCTAGAAAGAGACTAAAAGTATTTCTTTCTTCAGGACGACTCAGCAGCCTCCTACGTGATTATTAGAGATAGTATAACAATTCTGAGTGGCAGGTGCAGTGAATATACTGGGAAAATCAAGAATGTAATTTTTCATCAAAGCACAGAAAGAGACTAAACGTATTTCTTTTTCAGGACGACTCAGTAGAACCTATTGTTGCCTAATACATGATCCTTAGAGAGAGTATCATTTCTGAGTGCCAAGTGCAGTGACTTACTGGAAAATCAATTTTTTTCATTTCAATCAAAACCCCTGAAATAGAATAAAAGTATTTCTTTCTTCAGGACGACTCAGCAGCCTCCTACATGATTATTAGAGATAGTATAACAATTCTGAGTGGCAGGTGCAGTGAATATACTGGGAAAATCAAGAAAGTAATTTTTCATCAAAGCACAGAACGAGATTAAACGTATTTCTTTTTCAGGACGACTCAGTAGAACCTATTGTTGCCTAATACATGATCCTTAGAGATAGTATAGCATTTCTGAGTGCCAAGTGCAGTGACAATACTGGAAAATAAAAAAAAATCATTTCGATCAAAACCCCTGAAATAGAATAAAAGTATTTCTTTCTTCAGGAGGACAAGCAGCACTAATGAACCTATTTTTACTTCCCAGATAATCCATAGAGATAGCATAACATATCTCAGTTACAGATGCAGTAAAAATACGGGAAATCAGTAAGATGAATTTTCTTCTTAACCGGCACAGGCTACAAGTGTTTCCTCTTGATGAAGTCAGAATCACAAACAGATCAGTTTTTACCTTTTTCATGATCTTCAGAGATTGCATAATATTTCTGTGTGTTTGATACAGTTATTTATTGCTAAATCCGTAATCAAAAAATGACAATTTTCGTTGTCTTCAGATTGTTTTTAATTTCTTGATAGTCGCATAAATTAAATAGATTATTAAATGCTCAAATTAAAGCTGAAAGTCTTATGTTTCCAACGAGCGCACTAACAGCTTTCTCCAGTCATCTGTTATTTGAAATTTATATTAGAATTTCCGAAAAAACAATAACTCAAAACTATAGAACTTTTATATATTTTATAATTACATAAGTATATTGCACGAGATGTTATGTACGTAACAGAGAAAAAGTTACTTTTCAAGTAACAATAGTTTTATATATGGCATTGGGTCCTGCAAATAAAAGGAAAATTTTAATCTCTCTTGGTGATGTGATGTATGAAAATTACCTTGATTTACCAATATTTTCATTGCACTTCAAAAAGTTATTCAGTCACTAAGGATCTTTTGGGAGGCAATAATAGAATCTGCTTGGGAACTGCTGAAAAGATAAAGTCTACCAAACATCACTCTTGTGGGAGTGCACCTTGATCATCCTTTTATATATTTATTGTATGCTTATTCATAGACTCTTCAAATTTTAGTGATTTTCTCAGAAAATATAATAGATAGAAAGGATCAAATAATAATAAAAACAAATTAAATTAAAAGAAGAAATGATTTTTCAATCCCATTCGAAGTGCGGTAGAACAGGAAAAAAACAAACATCACAAATCTTTTAATAGGATCATTTTATAGGCCATTCTTTTATCTCTTCAATTGCATTTTTGGCGTTAACATAGTTACTTGTAATTTGTGTTCTATCTTTACTAAAGAGAAACAATCTTTGATGATTGATGGATGTTAACATATTGAACTGAAACATTTATTCAAGTGCAAAAGTTTACCATACAAACGCATTGAAGAACGAAACAATCGAGTTCTGTGTTCTTCATTAAGTTTGCATTAGGAACATTGCAGAATAATGACCAAATCTTATAAAAGTATTCGAAATTTACTAGTACAGCACTCATCCTTACGCAATTTAATTCAAATTATAGTTCCTAAAAATTCCGACAGATGGCTCCGCCTGTCTTAAATTAATAGCATGTAACTCGAAACCGCGGACCGATTAAAGCTTAATAACTTTCTTATTAATTAACTAATATTAATGTATTTAGTATCAAATGAAAGCCAAAGAATCTCTCTTTTGAACTTTTTTTAATTTAGTCAGATTAGTCATTCATGCTAATTATTTTATCAAACATACAAATTCCCTTTTTATGCAATGTATAATCTAAGAAAGAATACGTAATATTTATTACTTAACGACGATTTTCGATGTCTTCAGATTTTCGTAAATTTTTCCAGAATTCAACGAACTAATTTCTTCTGCTGTTTACAGTTCGCTTGTTATGATTGAAGTTATTATACTCCAATATTTTATTTAAATTTTCGTTTTTCCTTAATTTTTCGAAAATTACATAAGGTTTCATGGATGGATCCAAAAAGTGCATATGAAAGGTGGACGTTTTGGGATTGTAACGAGTATTCATTCATTCCTGTGGTTTCATTAATTTGACTGTAATTCGCGTTCAAACAAATAACGTTCGAAAAGAAAATTGGATATTTTAGAAATTAATTGAATATTTAACATTATTGTAGTTTCATCCATTTAGCCGTAATTCGCGAATTTGAAAAAATGATAAATTTAACGTTCGTAAAACCAGTGTTTTCAAATATTTCTATATTTTAATTGTAATTCGCTTTCAAAACACCATATTATATACAAACAGCCGTTTTTCAAAGTTTTGAATATAGAGAATTGATTTATAATAATAATTTTGAAATGACTTGGATGAATTACATTATTAAAACAATAAGATTTTGATAATTGCTAATAATATTAAATTACGACATTAAAAAATATACTAAATTACAGGAAAACTGTTGCTTTTGTAAAAATCTACTATGAGGTAAAGAGACTTTAAAAATCTCATAAAATCGAAAGTATCATTTGTTCCATAGGCAACCAACTCTTCACTTCATATCTGTAATATTTATCCATGCGGAAGTAATCTGGTATAAAACTTTGCATCAAATTTACTGCCCTCGGTTATCGGCCAGTTTATGTTTTCTCTGCAAAGAAGCTTTAATATCCCAAATGGGAAAACTTGCGACATCAATTTTTGTAATAATCTGGTGGAAAGCCGACGCTTTTTCTTCAACTCCCACGCTCCCCCGAAACTCCGTGCAATAAATTGCATGCATTAACGTATGCCCCGAGGATAAATTACATGCATTCACTTCGATTTTCTCCCTGATCCTTAAATATATGCCATTACGAAATTACCAAATGAATTATGCACGATGAGAACTTGCATTTAAGACGCAGGAATCCAGATTTTCTTTCTCATTCGCAATTCGAAGATGGTAATTCAAGATTACTTCGATTACAACGCAAAGTTGCTTAGATGGTTCGGCGTTTGGAGATTGAAGAAAGATCACAGGTTTTATAAGTTGCAGAAATACGGGTATTGCGTGTTCTTTGCTTTGGCCTGTCTTCATGTTGCTAGTATCGTAGGAGGTTTTGGGTATAGAACGCCTGAGTACACTTTCGGGCCTCTTTCGTTTCAGTTCATGTGCATAAATCGTATAGCCTTTATATGGTATAACGAGGATAAGTTAAAGGGATGCATTGCGATGGTCAAGAGGAGAAGTTTTTCGTTTAAAGAAACCGATTTGGAAGAGACCAGACAAAGTAACGAGGATCTAGCAAATAAATTCTCTTTGAAGTATCTCAATGGGTTCTTACTTCTCATGCTCTTCGATCTACCACCTTCGTTCTTCGCTACAATGGCATACAATTTGTTTCTGCTTTATAGAAATCCCAAAGCTGAACTCCTCAGTTTACCTTACGACACCTATTTTCCTTTCAACGTAACCCATGGTTATAACTACTTTTACGCATGGACTTCGCAAATGTTATTCGTCGATTATTTATCTTTCAGTTTTCCTGGTAAAATGAATCGAGTATGAAAATACAAACAAATAATTAATATTTTTTTTTATCAGTTACAGATACTTTATTATTGGGACTCGTTGTCCACAGCATTTATCAAATAAGAACGTTGAAACAATGCATTTTATCCTTAGCCGAAGTTGATGTGAAAAGTAGAGAAGACGAACTGAAACACAAAATCAGATTCGTCAAAATAAATGAGGAATTACAGGCGATTTACAAGTAATCAAAAACACATTAATTAAAACATTGGTATTGATTGAATGAATTAATTACAGATTGATATACAAAATTGAAGATATTTACAACGTAAATCAAATGTTGCAACTGTTCCTCTCAACTTTACTCTTCTGCAGCTTTTTTCTGATTGTTAAAAATGTAATTGTTTCAATATTGTTATCAGTTCAAGTATTTAATTTCAGTATGTTTTTTCAGGATCCTTCTATTATTATTAAAATAACACATTCGTTTACTCTGTGCGGTATTGCGTTGCAACCTTTGACGCTCTGCTACATAAGCCAGACTCTAACCGACGAGGTTTGGAGATGGATTAAAGTTAATCTCAGCTCCTCATGGTTTTCCCTTTGCAGCTCGTCGTGTTGGATCAGGCGTTCGCATCCCTGAATTGGCTTCAGTTCAGCAGAGATTACAGGAGCAGTCTTCTCTTCGCGATTTATCGGATGCAGAAGCCCGTAGTCCTGACGCTCGGGAAGTATCTTGTGATTAACCTCAGTTTGTACATCGGTGTAAGTTGATTTGATTTCATTTCACTTACTTTACTATACAGTATGCAAAGTTTTATTATTTTCTTATTGAATCAATTCCTTACAATATACACACATAATTGACGCTTTGTGTTTGCAGTTCGCTTCGAAATCGTATTCATTCTACACTATACTGACTCAAGCGAATTGAATTGCGTGCTTTCGTTGCATAAATCCGGAGCACAGTTCATGCGAAGAAGTAAATATCAAAAA